TGTGGAATGTTATCACCAAACCAAATGCCACTACATTTATTTGCTCTTTAGTTTGATATTAAGTGTTATTAGGATTTATTTGACAAAAAACCTTGGATCTAGGTTATCAACCTGAAAGACAATGAGGGAGAAAACATATCTGTAGTTCGTAGGAAACTCATATTCATTGTGAGATCAGGTCGTAAATGATCCTGTGCAGAGCATAATTATGTGTTGGTTGGTGTATCAATGTAGTCCTAAATCCCAGTCTAAATTGATGGATTAGTGTGTAGTGAAGAAACTAAATGGACCTGAATAGTCTGATACTATAGTTTATGACTTTATTACTGAGAAGGAAATAAAAGTCTCTCTAAGATTGTATATGTGTTGTTCTTATGAATACTTATAAGCACTGAAATGGGATTCGGGTTTATCAACTAGCTGCAGAATTATAAATAATTATAGTGTCAAGTTACTTGGTCATACAGTAGTCGAAAAGTTTCCCTCAATACCCCATTGTGGGTAGCTACACAGATCATCATCTGACAACTAGTCCGTATACATTACGAATTTAAGTAGTTCTATTGACAATGGTATGGTATAAATAAATAGATGATTTATAATAAAATTAGTACTGAGGGTTGGATTTGATGACCCGTTTATTGCATAACTTAACAGAGAAAATGAAATGCTTACTGTTGCATATAAGGTCTACTAAATAAAAATATCATTAAGAATTGACCAAGTATTAGTTAATGTGAAGACAAAAAATATAGCGTATTTTTAGTAAGCTTTACGACCCCCTTTGGCCGTAGATGACCATCAGTGAAGTTAATGACAATAAATAGCTGCTCACTGTTCGTCGGTTTTTTAATAATTCTATCGCTGAGATTGATTCTTGCCGAAATTGATGTCAGGATCAGTCAATATCCCGAAGGCACCATGCTTACATTTTTCTACTTTGTGATATACTACTGACAAGTAGTAGCACAAAAATTCTGAAATTATCATTTTCACTCTATGCAGTATAGCTTCATTGATACACATGATGTATGTAACCATATGTTTACTGGGAGTTACTATTACTTAACTGACTATTTAATATTTCATATACTTATTTCCCCTTTCTAGTTTAAGCAATACGGTAAGAACAGCGTTAATACGATATAACGAACTTGTTTAATTCCATACGTATTTAGTCAAATGTGTACAACGGGAATAATTGTAGAAATAAACAAATCAATAAGAAAATCATAATAAACCTTAAATAAGAGGTTAGCTCATCTTTTTTCAGAGTAAGAAAAAGTTTATATAGGTATTCTAAAATATAAAAGAAAGTCCAAATACTAACTGTTTCAATGAAAGTAAACATTTCCCTCCATTTTAGCTTTCAACTTTGGTGTAGGACACAATGACAAGGAATTATATACTAGATGGCGTTTTGGACAGGGTTTATTGCTAGTAAATATATAAAAGCAGTTACATAATTTCCAAAATCAGTTTTTACGGTTCGTTAGTGCTCTGTTTTCCTATTTGTATTACTGAAAAGCAATAGAACCAGGGATGCACATTTAATTCTATTTAGGACTCGTCAACTGGAAATACCTGCACCTTGATGACTTATGGTTTTCACGATGAATCAGAAAATCTACCATTTTAATACAAACGCCAAAATGCCATCTAATGAACTACTTAGCCATGCAAGCCATTTCTGGTGCAGTGGGTATCAATTATGAATTGCTGAAACTTTTAGTTTCTTGTGATATAACATGATGCTATTTTCAATTTAAGGGCAAGAAGTCCCTAAGATTCATCAGTTTCTCCTTTTAAACAGGTAATTCAGGTTTCCTTTCGAATGTCAACAACAACAATACTTCGAGATACTTGTGAAGTGCATTTATATTCACCACTGTAAAAATGTCATTATGCAGCGATGATGTTCCATAGCCAAATGATAAATTACTTCACTGTTACGTTAGAATGAGTCTTTCAGTATTTATGTTAGGCAATCGTCTTTCCGGTTTTCCTACGTAATTACTTCATGAAGTACATGTGAATTTTTATATGTAATTGAGATTGACATCAGATGAAGGATGTCTTACTTTAAAAAGTTAGTTGAGTACATCACTTTATGGATGAGGACGTGTGTGGTAGCCAAGAATGTCCTAGTAATTAGCTTTACTTAGTTTTCCGACTTTCCCTTTAGGACTGTTTTGTTTTCTGCACTAATATTGTCTCACTCTCCTAACTTCACAGTAATTCATAAATAATCCCTTTCCAGACAGCGAAGGAGAGCCTTTTTGGGGAATTCATTCACTAAGTTGTACAACTGCATATACACACAATTATTCATGAAAGAGGGTAGTAACAAAAGTGCTGAGTTCTCGTGATCATTAACTAATATTGACTACATATATATATCACAGAATAGGCGAGTGCTTACATAAGCATTCTTATAGCTCTAAACAAAATGTTTTACTCATGAACTCATACATTATGTTTGACTGACTCACTAAAAGACATGAGTTTCGTGTTGTCTTCCCTTCGACAAAACAATAAGAGAACTCTACTGTTATGCTTGAAGTGAGCGATAACTACATTGATGATTACAATTTAGATATGAGTGTTTTGATTTTGATAGTGTCCCAGCCCTCCAGTATACTGAAAGAGTATAATTCCTCTGTTTAAAAACCATAAACAACTATAAGAAGCATGTTTTCCGTTAAATACAGAACACCATATAAAGTTACGTCAGTTAGACTTCGACTGACCACACAAAAGTAACAAGCAGATAAAGAAAAAAGATGGAGAAGTAATAAGATATAATCTGGAATAGTTTAATAAGCTTTAAATTATGTTGCGTCTTGCTACCATTTACTAAAAATATCCAACCAATGAATCATCTGCATGATATGCATCATCATCTAAAGCAGCAGCCAATGTCTTCTTGAGATTGTCCCACTTCATGTAGTGACGAGATTTTTTCAAAAGTATCCTCAGATAGTAGAATGAAGAATTTCATTTCCTATTTCAGATTTTTTGTACTGCCATGTTTGACCATTTAACAAGCACATATACACAATGTACAGCGAAAAGTGAAGTGTACATAATGGGATATAAAAAGCATCAGTAATATTTACTAAAATCCTATACATATTCCTAACATTTTAGGGAATTTGAAGTGCTTACAAATGGCACTGACTTGACTCATTCTCAACTCCTGACATTCTCCGTGTAATAAGTAACCATTTATATTTCCTAATTAATTTCATAACGCTTACCTGACGCGTATTAAAGGAAGGTATACTGTTTTCGTAGTTGACATCCAATTCCGTTAATCAAACAAATGCACAGAAATAAACAGATCTTCGTTACACAAAGTTCATTAGCTTTGCGATAAACGACTAGATGTGTATAATGAAAGCATTCAGTATTATTAATTAAATAATTTCTTTGCAATATAATTTCTGTAACCACTGTTCTGCTCATTTATGTTCATTATTTCACTGATTTATCAGAAACCATCAAACGTATTTTCTAAGTTAGAGATAAGCAAAAAATCTATTAGTTTTATAAAATTATTTATAGCAAAAAATATCAGTTAGGAAATCATCTGAAGATATCAGGGAGAGCATACATGTTTCGTCTCACCAACGTACTCTTCAGTAATGCAAGTGAAGATTCTGTCCCGTAGTAACACCCTCAAAAATAAAATACACGAATACTGAAATATACAGATAAATAGTAGAACTGGTTAGGCAGCAAATTCGAACGAAGAAGCTATTAAAGCTGGGCATACTTACTGAAACGTAACGTGCAAATTTATTCCTTTAAACAGAAACCTCTTAAACTTCGTAGTACTGATTTCAGCACTTTAACTTTGAAAACTGATACTTATGTGTCGCATACTCCTAATCCTCATAAACACCTGGTACCTGTTCAGTACATAGATATTCAATCAGCTAAATCGTCAATTTTGTGACAGAATGATATCAACCTGAGAATCAATGAAAAGCAAGAAGCACTAAGTAATAATTTCATCGTATTTCTCAACACTTTAGCAGTTCTAAAGCCGGCATGCTGTTTCGACACTCATAGATGGATAGATGGATAAGATATGACATTATTAAAAGTTCAGATAAAACGAATATCACCTTGTTTGCAATTCTTCTAGTGTTGACTGACTTTAGTCCTTTACCGATTAAAATACGAAAGGTTCCAAATGAGGTTCACAAGATTTTATTTCCTCAATATGCAAATATTTTATCGAAACAGAATAACCAGGCTTGACAAATGCGAATAATATTTACATATCATAAACTGTGTCGTTCCACATTCAAACCAAGAGAATATTACATCCTGAAGCCAAATATTTGAAATTCGTTGATATACTTAAGTGCATTAATTGGTCACTGAAAAAAAATAAACATCATACGACTTAGTGCTAAGCGCTGAACCAATTCTACTGATAAACTTTACAGTGTGATAAAGAATCTAGATGATTTGTTATCTCTGTACTTTTTTGAATGAAGTAGGATTATTTAGGGCGAATGGAAGAAGACCTAATTTACCGTAGGTATCCTCATTCAGGTCGGCCAGTAGCGCTTTCTAGCCAGATCATCTTAATGTAAACACCGTTCTACTTGTTGCCGGTGAAGCTCATCAGCTAGATACTTAGTCAGATCCAGCTCAGAGAAACAAATATAATCACAGTGTCAGAATTCTAGTTGGCTACTGGTAACAACCGGTATTGTTGAATCGAATTTATTATTTTCCCCTCTGCTTGACTAATTTCTAAGTATTCATATGAATCAGTGGGATTTAACGCCACGATAGTTTGTTTGTTTTCTCTCTCTCTAAGTATCTCTGGTTTCAAAGGAAAGTGAGTTGAATTTTCATCTCGAACTATGTAATTCTCAAATAAAAAATTGGATTTCACTTTATAGTAAGCGACTTCATGATGAGCTGAATTAATTAAACTGGTCGATCACCAAAGAATTTAGTTATCAGTTATAGATAACATGATGCACAAAACCCTACAGTGTTCATCGAATAAGCCTAAACCAGTTCTTCAGAAGGTAAAGCACATTCCTAATATGGCAAAGTACTAATCAAAGTTTGCGGGGAGGAGTTACTGAGTACTTTTCAACAGTATATGCGACTTTAAAGTGACTGTCAACAAACTGAAAATCCAAATGAACTACAGTTCCAGACCACCTACCACCTGAAATCAATCAGCCGTGTTAATTCGGAAGAAACTTCACTTCTCATCTATCTGAATCGTAAACCCTTTGACGGACATTTATTCTTGCTATTTAATCTGAAAAATGAGAAACGCTTAGCATAGTGATGCTTATTAGACTTTTATAACACCTAATTCCACAGGAAGTGGTGGCAGGAAGAAAGCTAAATGATGTTGGCATAACCTACAAAATATTTGCTTAACCACTGATTATGATTTATTACTGAATTGAAAAACAAACATAACGGAAGACTTTTATAGTAAGGAAGACGTCAAAAATATCTCCTAACATTAAGTGGAATTATACTTCGATTTTAGATACAATTATTTAAGAGAATAAAATGTCATTAAGCTTATAATTATACGTCATTTGTAATTCCATTTTTTTAAATACTAAAATGAACGCGCGCACTGAATCTATCCCAGTGGTAGATATACTAGTTTCCTTGCTTGATTTTCACATCTCATTTGAAGGGATGTTGTGTTTATCTTTCACCATATGTCTGTCCTATCATCTATCTTACAGAACGAGCTAATACCGCCCACAGCTTTTCTTTTTAACCTGAACGACCTTTATGAAACAGCCAATACTGGACTTGTATTTGTCTTCTTATTGATTGAAAATGCTAACTGGTCGATTCCCCATTTCTGTTCATGCTAATCCACGATAACATTTAAGTTGGCACCTGACAAATTAATAAATGATAACAATAATGTCATGTTAGTTATTCCTCATTTGGTGGATTTTATTTCTTTCATTCAAGAAAAACATAACTGACTGCAATTATAAAAATTTAAAGAAATCTAATTAAAAGATATCGTGTTTTTATCGTAGTCGGTGAGTCCATGTTTCTTTTTTCTAAGTAAATAAAATTGAATCATTTAATGCTGACATATTACCTATCTACTATATCACTGTTTCACAGTCCATACAACAGCCTAACGTTCATTTTACCTTTTTGTCTGTTTATGGCTACATCTACAAAATTGATTACATTCGACGATAGCACAGTGTTTAGGCGTGACGGAGATCCGTACTTCAAAAGTATAGACCCCTACACCTTGGTCACATCTTAGTCATGCTGTCCCAAAGTCTTACATAGTGAAAATATGGCTAGGTCTTGATGATGTGTTGCAGAACGAAATTTAATTGTTTCCAAGTTTGACCATGATATCTCAAGAATCTCAAACAAGGACGAAACAGCTGTCCAGCACTCCTTGGTTTTCAATAGTTCTGTAATTGAAGTCAATTCATAGTAAAACTTGAAATCAACTGAATCACTGCATACCAATACCTGGATACATAACTGTGTTGAGTAAATATTAGTAAGGTTGCCATGACCACTTAGAGGTAGTTCAAGAGACCATGTGTAACCCAGTCGCTCAATTAAAAGCCAGTAGTAGTTTTGTTTTTTAATTAGTTTCTTTGGAGAAGTAATACATTGCGTTAACAGTTTATGGATCTTTCTTATTTGACTGCTTTTTCTCGTATGTTCAGTCTTGTCTTTTAATATTATATCTCTTCTGTTTTCGTAATTTTACTACATTAATTTCTTCACTTCCTCTTCATTTCTGCAAAGTACAAAGTTCACTATTAAGTAGACATACATTTAGTTTGTTTTGATAAATCATTTTTCTATTAATTGCATTCTTTGATTCTTCTTATCATAATGGACTCACAAAGTAGTATAATTTTTTTGGATAGAAATGAAGCGAAATTTAGTTCTTTTTTTGTTTTGTTTGCTACAGTTTCCGTTTACTGCTGCTTTCATTGTTGTGCAAATTTAAAAAAAGTAGTAAGGGTGTATTTAATCGAAAGTGATCCCTTCTGGAAAAAAACTGTTTGCCACAATTTTTGTCTGAATTTCATCTTACGCAAGTATGTGAAATGGAGAAGTCATTTTTATTTAATTTATATCACATAGAATTCAAGTAGAACAATAAGAATCCGTTACAATAATAAATTCATTGGCGTTGAATTCCAATAAGATTAGTCAGAACTGATACCAAATGCAAAAGGTTTCCACAAGGTAACTCAATTTTTATCAAAGTTGTTAAGGAAAGTGTTTTTAGTCAACGGTTGATTGTTAACAATTGATCATATTGACACAAAAGCAGATCCTTGCTTATTTCAGTATCGTCTATTGCACTTTTCGTTTATTTAAAGTTGTTTAGAAAAAGTAATTCAACTTGAAACGATATGCTTTTTGGGCACCAAAGTCACAGTGTGTAATTCATTTGACGCAGCACACATTAGTGTTGTAGTATTTGCTGATGACACTGCAAAAATAATTTATTGGTTAAAAGTATGTCAATGCAAACAGTTTCCTCGTCTTATTCATAAAGTTATGTTGTTCGTTATCAATTTTCTTTAGTGTTAGGATTTTTTTCTATATACTCTCTGTTAGTGCTGCATCATTTCCATTCTACATGTCAAGTACTGACTTGAGAAATAGGGATTCAGTAATCCATTTTATCTTTCAGCCAACTGTATTGGCTTTTCAGACTGTTCATCTGCTTCATTCTATTGTACGATTGTGGTAGTGCATTCACAGACAGCGCCAAAGTTAGCAGTCTGGAAAAACACTCACTGCTTGATGTGAATATACTTAAATAACAACACAGTAGGATGCGGTAGAGTTATAATTCTAAATATTAATGTTATTTGTTGAAGAGGGAATTCCGATGATCGAATTAATGTTCATCAAATCGAAACCCAACAGATGAAATAACCTAAGAGTAGATGATATCACACTATATGAATGAAATTCATAAGAATTTCTGAGATGTATTGCTAGCATTCAATAAATAAATTAATAAGGAATCACTCTCTCTCTCTTAAAAATTGCCATATTATAATCAATCATATTTATAATTCTAATGGGTTTTATTCCTCGCATCTCACTTCTTCTACATAGATGTTTTTACTCATTCCTTATAATGTATCTCAGTTAAAATAGTAATTTCATAACTTTACTGACGCGGTGTCAGTTATTCTAAGGTAAGATTTAGTCATACTTAAGAGTCTACTCAGGAGTTTATGAAACATGGTTAAGAGGTTCTATTGTCAATATCAATTAGTCATAAAAGTAATTTGAAATCGTTAAAGTGTTCTAAAACTGAGTCAGTTATTTTCAATATCTCACCATCCTTTTCGGCAGTAGAATTCGATTGACTCTAATATGCATTTCTGTATTGATTCTGACCTGATAATACAGTTTTTCATCCTTCCTAAATTTTTGGGAACATCAATTTTTACTGAGATATTGGCGAATACTACTTTTCGGTGAAATTTAGTTTCTTAAATTGTTAATTTTGTTTACAAGAAACAGTTTAGAAAGGTAAAATTCTAATATCAGACTATTTTTCATGTGATGTGAATACACAAGGATGTGGTATCACGCCCCTAAATAGAAATGTAATCTCAACACTAGATTTTACTTATCATTTGACTCTGAAATGTGACTAAGTGATTGAGTATTCAAAGGCAGGATGCACTGTTGTCCATTATGATTGTTTTGGTAAGGCCTGCGTTACTCAAGCTCGAGTGTTTCCCTCCGCATACTTTTGATATCAGTCTAAACATCTCTATTGTAGATTTATGGAGAAAGGACGTATCTTTACATGGCTGGTTGCATAAAATATACTTAAGGACAAGCATCATTTGAGTATTTAGTGTAGAATTTTCTTAATTGTCGCTACTATCTATCCGCTTTGACGTTCGGTTGGTGTTACTTCTTCTAATGTCCACCTTTGGTTCATTTTGTTGAAATGATATTGGATTAATAGTTAACATTTTGTTTACAGAGTTAAGTAGATTAAAACGTTAAGTGTAATTTATATTGGTTGACTTTCCACCCTCTTTCTCAGTTCGAATAATCTTTATCTTGAGCTTTCTAATAAAGGATGAGTTCCCATTAGCTAAATCTTTAAAGTTGGCACCTGTGATGATTTGATTTTATTATAAAAATTTCCTAATGTTGATTCCCACTTAATTCATTTTCAGCTGTTGGTTTTACGGCAATGGTAATGTTATAGTGCATTTTTACTAAAGAGGACCATTTCGAGGGTTTCCATTTTTGCGAAAACTGCTTATTGATTTACAATTTAGCAAGCTGATTCAGTTTTGTTCTTTAGTAGTATTTCATTCATTCGAGACAGTACAAACTAATGGAGCAATTCGCCTTTAAATGGTGTTCAATTGTACATGTATATTGACAGTTAGGCACTTCATTGCACTTCTCAAAGTAGACTTAATCTGAAATCCTGATGCTGTCTAGTGCAGGAAAAATCCTGCATATTAGATAAGTTTATTTGATATAACATACAGTGATGCAGTATGAATAACTTGATGACGTTCCAAGTACAATTTATTGCTTATAATCGCATTAGTGTATTCGCATGGCTTCCTAACATGCTTTATATGGCCTCAGTCTCTCTAGGTTTTCTGCGATTGTAGTTTACTCTTAAATACTTAATAAATGGTAATAATGAAATATGTTGAATTTGTTTCTGCGTAAGCAGCACTAGACATTTAGGCGTAGGTTGGTGCTAAAATCTTTGATTGCGAAAGTAGAATGCTGAATATGAATGAAACTATACTAACAACAACAAATTCATTGCTGCTCCTAAATCGATTACATGAAAGCGTCCAGGAAGAAACATGAAGTAGAACGAACAGTACATCATCAGATTGGTGACAGATAAATCGGATTTCAGTTAGCAAAAGATCCATAATAGTTTGTATTCATTTTCTAACAAAAGAGAATGTAAAGGTTGAACAATAATATAAATTTATGCCAACTTTTTTATTCACTATGTTTTAAGTATTCTGAAATTTCAGGTTTCGTGACTCCAAGATACCTTACTATGTTAACCCCTACTAACTTAAAATTAAGTTGAAATACATTTTTTAGACTTCCAAATTCTTCTTTTCTCAGTGATGGAATTCAGTGAAATCTGAATGTCCATTTTTCTCAAAAGTCAGTTATGAAGAAAGTAGCTACTATGGCTGGAAAGGAGCCATGAGTAAGAAATTTTCAGAGCATTATTTCAAATTAGGAAAAATCTTTCTGTAATCCACGATAATAGTTAAATCACTACAATATCACACACTAACCGTTCTGTTTAGACGGAAATATAACACAAATGACATCTGTTACAGTTTTGTAAAAATTCGTATATAACTTGATTACCTGATTTCCACGATTTTAGTCTTTTCAGTGGTGACTGAAAAATGCTGATTTTTTGGAATGGTGACTGTTAGGATAAATAGAAGTATGCTTAATGTATGTGAAGTGCTTTACGGAATCTGAAAACAAAGTTAGCAAAACAAAGCAGCCAAGTTTTTTTCCTCATATCCTAAATATGATAAAAATTAGACTCCAACAATTAAATCCAAGTATTTTAACTGACCCAAGAAGTAGCTACTAGTCAGCTTCGAATACTTATCTCCAATCACTTAATCTGTGATATATGCTTTGAAGTGGTTACCAAACATAGTCGAAATGAATTGAAAAGTCTTTATATATTTAAAAACACTGAACATGTTTATGCTGCATCAGATTTCCAGAAGGCTTTTCTTCATTACTATGACATGATAGAATTATTCGTTATTTGTCATAAGTGTGCAGTCAGCTGTTTGAAACCTCGTGTGACTATGATATTGCACTAGCCTTCTTAAGTTTTCAGGGCTAGAATGATTGATCTAGAAAAACACTTAGCCATTTCACTGCATGTAATAACACAATAGGATGGGACAAGGTTAAAATTTTGCTTTTGTTAGAAAACTAACACGTGCAATTGAAATGACGCAACGCCTACAACAGATATATGAGA